TATACGAGTTTTATATGATTTAAACTGTATACGTATTTATATCTACATAATATGTTGGGTAAAACATGGGTAGATGAAAAATAAGTTGGACGATAAGTTAAGAGGTAATATAGACCATGAGGAGAGGGTGAGAGGTGGACGATGTGAGAAGCCTTTTTCCCAAATGATGGCCCCGTCATCTAGCAGAGTATGGATGATAACCACGCACTATTGTAGACAGTCCAGTGGAACACTAGCAGGCACGCAACCTGTAGGTGTTGTGAATGATGTTTTCACCGGTGTACTCTAAAAAACCATTGACCTGTATTGCGAGTGGACTCTCGAAAACGATACTGTCAATAAACGAGATAACCCTGGGAGATGCGCCTAAAAAGGACTCTACCGGCAGAAGCGCCTAATAGAGAACATCATAACCCCGACGATTATGGAGTTAGCGTCTGGCAGCTATGGATTTCGTGCCTATTGAGAAAACCCTGGCAACGATAGATTCCGTGCCTATTCCTTAGGATAATCCTTACGAATGAATGAACGAGGAATAGCTGATTCTTAGGGTAGATCCTTAAGAGTAATGAAGATAATGGGGGTGGGTAATTGGGTGTATTAGTTGTTTGATGCTTAAACATAATAATTATATTATTGTGGGTTGAAACCCCTATGTACTCACCAGGTTTCCCAACCTGACCCACTCAAGCTTATTTGTATCACATGTGTCGATACGAAACTACTTTACACTGAGAGATTAAAGAGATGTAAATCACTAGTGTAAATAAATGTAAGTTCTGTTTATACTTATGTTTATGTATTGACGATGACATCCCAAATGTTTTAAAATGAATAAAAATACATTTCTTCGGAAATGCTTTGATAACGTATTTATCATGTTTTTTTTCAGGGAATAAATTCCGCAACACTTTTATTAAAAGAGGTACTCTGATTTTTATAAAACATAAACAAAATCGGTATTTTCTGGCGGTGAAAATGGGGATGTCACAGGTTAACTACAAAAGCATTTAGCAATGACACATAGCGACATGTGACATAATCATGAAGGAAATGTTGCGGTTTTTTTTTTATGTATTTACAGTGACAAGCCGTCGCCACTATTGCCTTTAGTCGATGAGCAATTGATTTCCAATAATTGGATTGAGAGCACTAATCAACAGTTGGGGTTCTTCCAAAAACTCTCACACAGATTGTACTTAATAGACACTACTAGTTGCGCCTTTAGTGGAAACAAAAGCATTAGCAACGACACGTAAAAGTGTCGCCACTATTTCTTGCATCGCCACTAAAGGCGTCGTCATTAATACATGCATTTACTGTAATGTGTTATCTTTGTAACAAGACTGATGTTTGGAAGTAACATTAAGAGCTATGTATTGGAGACTCATGTTGAAAGCATTTTGATTTTTTTTTGCAAGGTTAAAGAAAAAGACAAAAAAATAAGGTTATTATATTTCGAATGTGTGGGATCCACCATTTTTGCAGATAACATCTATAAAATGCACTTAACCGTTTACAAAAATCACTAAAACAACGTAGTTTTGATGATTTTAAGTATGGACAACCTATCTTGTAGATGTTATATGTAAAAATAATAGGGCTGTCAAAATTATATCATGGAAAACCAACCAATATGTTACCAATCAAATTAAGAAATTTGATAGCCAATATGTTTAGTTGGTAGTACCATACCAAAATGAGCAATCTTAGTATGGTAATGATACAAAAATTTGAATACCATGGTAATACGGTATCATCCAATTCATTTAGGATGCTAGTCAATGTTTGCATGATCGTTAATTTTCAGGTTGCAAAACGACAAACTTCAATATATCGGATGGTGGGAACTTGGAACTACCTTGACTCCATGAGCACTAGCCACAATTACACTATATTTACCTTTAAGCAGTTTTGTGCAACATTTTAATGTATATTTTTAAAAAGTGAAAGTAAGGAGTGGAGAATCTAAATCATAACATTCCATGGTTTAAAAATTGGACGGAGTTGAGCCTAAATAACATTCTTTTATAATATAAATGGAGCATCACATTTGGCTTTGCTTGCTTGATCCGCATATATTTATAATTAATTATTAATAATATTACCAAGAACAATTATGGTTTTTAATTTTGCATAACTTCAATTATAATGTTATTTGATTTTTAAATAAGTATATTGCTTTCAAACCATTTACAACGACCCACTATTAATATTTACATATTTTCATAGATATTACGCCACCATGAAATTTAGAATTGATATTACATTTTTCGTATTAAACAAAACAAAACGTTTGACTTGATAAACATATTAACTTATTTCATGCGGGCCCAACAAACAAAGCATTTTATTTTCTGTCGATTGCACCACCCCTAGACACTTCAAGGCACTGTAGTTATATGATGACTCATTCACATCACTATCTTTCAATCTGCACCCGTGCTTCTTTTTCTTTAAAAGCTTACCCATCTTCTCTTTTCTTATGCATGTGAACCTATTTGGCTATTTCCCTTTCTCATACCCATGCTCTAATCCGATTTATACACATTTACACTTCGATTTGTCTTCCTTCTCTCGTAAACATGCCAGTTCTTGAGTTTGAATCCAATATTTCTAGTGTCTCATCAAGCAGTCCAAGAGTACCTCAAGTTAACACAAGAATGGATAACTCCACCGTTCATGCTGAACCACCGGTGTCAACTACAAACATGGACCCAACCTTGGAATCTGGAGTCGCAAATCAAACTCAATCACCACCTTCACAACTACCTTTTTTACGCGAATCTTTACGTCCAATTACTCTCAAGGTACAGCATATTTCATTTCATATATTTTGCGAGCTAAACATTTAATTATAAGGAATCACTATTTTAAGTTATCACGTTGACTTTCGCTAACCATTAAGCATTTGTTTTACAAATTCTTAGTTTGAAGATTTGGTTTACACTATTAAGTTGCAATCTGGAGACGACCATTGTTTTAGTTCATCTGAATCAAAAAGAACCCGGATTCTTCTGAATGGAGTCAGTGGCGTAGTCAGACCAGGGGAATTACTAGCGATGTTAGGCCCATCCGGCAGTGGAAAAACCACCTTACTAACCGCCCTTGGAGGTAGACTACCTGGAAAGACGTCAGGCAGCATAACTTACAACGGCCAATCCTTCTCAAGCTCTGTGAAAAGAAAAATTGGTTTCGTGACACAAGATGACGTGTTATACCCACACTTAACTGTTTTAGAAACTTTAACCTACGCTGCCATGTTGAGGTTGCCCAAGAGTTTGACCATAGAAGAGAAAGTAGAGCAAGCTGAGCTAATCATAATCGAACTTGGTCTAACAAGGTGTCGCAATAGCATCGTGGGAGGGCCACTTATACGAGGTGTTTCTGGTGGGGAGAGAAAACGGGTTAGTATTGGACAAGAGATGCTGGTGAACCCGAGTCTCCTGCTTCTTGATGAGCCCACTTCAGGGCTCGACTCCACCACAGCTTTAAGGATCATGGCTACATTGAAAGGACTAGCTCGAGGAGGAAGGAGTGTGGTAACAACGATTCATCAGCCATCAAGTAGATTGTATTGGATGTTTGATAAGGTTGTTGTGTTATCTGAAGGGTGCCCGATTTACAGTGGGCAAACTTGCGGGGTTATGGAGTACCTTGCTTCCATTGGATATGTGCCCGGGTTTAGTTTGATGAACCCGGCTGATTTTCTGCTTGATCTTGCCAATGGTATGTGTGCATTTCGTTCTTGATGCTTTTTTTTTGTTTGAAGAAAAGAATTTTATATAGATGCAACTAGAAATGCAAACCGTAAATTTTGATATGTTAACCACAATATGTTCAAACTCAAATCTTATGGTTGCATTTATTATATTATGGGTTAGTTTGTATAATTTTCCAAATGTTTTCTTTGATATTTATATATATTATCCTCATTGAGGTTCTTTTAGAAGCTAGTTCTTTTAATTATAATTTAAAATAAATAATTTATGGAGTAAAATATTGAAATACAACTCACAAAAGTTCAAATATGATTTTTTTTTTTTTTTTTAAAAAGCATTAGTTTCCGGAGATTGTATTAGATTTCATTCCCTCCTTGATGGAAGATGTATTCGTTTTCTGTTCTAGCTGGCATTGAGAACTTTTATTTTATACTAGAACATTAGTCAAAATAATAATACAGATCTAATGAATCTTTTTATAATGGACATACAGGTGTTGCACCTAGTACAAACCCAGATGATCATAGACAATATAATCAAGGAAAAGCAGATTCCCATGAAGATCGCAACTCAATTAAGCAATCTCTAATATCATCATACAAGAAAACCCTTCACCATCTTATCAAAGACGACATCCATAGAAATATCCATGACGCAACTCGTGCTCATAGAGGACCACAATCTTCGAGATGTAAGTTCAAATCAACATCTTTCTTTTCAACTGTCATTTAATTAATTAATGCACATCCCATTCCCATAGGCAATAGTTGTGATCTTCATAAATATCTCATGCAGTAGAAAATGATTTTGGTGAAAAGTTAAAATGTATAAGTGGTTTGCAATCGCAGGTTGTGACAACAGATGGACCACAAGTTGGTGGACACAATTTAAAGTTTTGTTCAAAAGAGGTCTTAGAGAGAGGAAGCACGAATCGTACTCTGGTTTACGAATCTTCCAAGTGATGTCTGTCTCAATCTTATCGGGTCTTTTATGGTGGCACTCCGATACATCACACTTGCAAGATCAGGTACCACGATTGTCCTTCGTTATTTTCTGCCGCTCACTACATCTCCTAACTTATTATGCTATGTTTTAAAAATATTGTTGTACCAAATCATCATTAAATAATAGCTTATATTTGTCATTAAATGCTTACTAATTGATGAACATATGATATATATGCAGGTGGGACTTCTCTTCTTCTTTTCAATATTTTGGGGCTTTTACCCTCTATCCAATGCCATATTTACGTTCCCTCAAGAGCGACCAATGCTAATAAGAGAACGCTCTTCTTCAATGTATCGCCTCTCCTCATATTACTTTGCTAGAATGGCAGGCGACTTGCCAATGGAACTTGTTCTACCAACCATCTTTGTAACCATTTCATATTGGATGGGTGGTCTTAAGCCTTCACTCATCACATTCGTGCTAACAGTTCTAATCATTCTTTTCAATGTGCTCGTTTCACAAGGACTTGGACTAGCCCTGGGAGCCATACTTATGGACCTAAAACAAGCAACCACCTTGTCATCCGTGATCATGCTTGTGTTTTTACTAGCAGGTGGTTATTATATTCAACAAATTCCACCATTCATCAGTTGGTTGAAATACATCTCGTTTAGCCATTATTGTTATAAACTTCTAGTGGAAGTACAGTATAGCGAAAATGAGGTTTATGAGTGTGGAATGGGCACTCACTGTAGGGTATTAGATTTTCCGGGTATCAAATATCTTGGTATGGGTCACTTGTGGTGGGATGTCGCTGCTTTGGGTGTAATGTTGGTGGGGTACAGGATTGTGGCTTATGTAGCATTGAGGATGAGTAAATCTCACTAAATGACCTTGAATTCTACCTCTTCATGTGTCAAATAAATCCGCAAAGTAACTAAGAGAAAAAGCATTTATAAATTTAGAGGGATTTATGCAAAAGTTAGAAATAGTTGACTTACTTATAATTGTATATTGCTACATAATTGCATTTGTACCAATTTTATATTTGGTTCATTAATATCATTATTCTCATTTTGGATCGCCTTTATTAATAATTGTGGACTACTATGTTACCGAAAACGAACATGAAGGTATGATAAACGAAAGAAAACAAGAATTTGCATGGTGCATTCAAAACCGTGGGATCACGCCCTTGAATTCCCGTTGTCACCTGCATGGCGGTTAGGTCCTTCCACTAGTCATAAGACTCAAGAATCAACAATCTCCTAATTTGGAGACTGATCAACAAATAAATTAGTCTACCAACAAATAAATTAGTCTACCAAGACATGAAGCTCTAGTAAACCTAAAACATTTAGGAGTTGATTGGTTTTCTTAGGCAAAATGGTTGCAATCTACGGACCACATCTGCAGACATCTGTAGTAAAGAGGTGGACCAAATATTTGTAGTCTGAAAGAAGAACTGTTTGTTTTTTAACGTCTACAAATTGTTAAAATAAACTAAAATCTAAATAAACAGATTTTTTTTAAACTTAAAAGAAATTTTCAATACTTAACAAATTTGGATAAAAATTTATGTACTGTTATATAAAAAGTGAAAATAAAATAGTACGAATTAACATGTATATTTGATAAAAACCAACAAGCTTTGGTCGCAAAGTGTAACATCCTAAATTTAAGACTAGGTTCTTAAATTAATTAAGTAATTAAATAAAGCATGATTTACATAATTAAATCATTAAGGAATGATCATATTGTTATTTGATATGAAGATTAGAATGAAAAAAGTTTAAATAATAACATTGCAAAGTTAAGGGAGCAAAAGTGTCGATTTGGTAAACTGTTTATCCAAATGGTTAACTCATTTAATGGGAAATGGACTAGAAAATCTATTAAATGGACGGGGAAGGACTTATTATGTAAACCCTTAAGGTAAGTTAAAATAGAAAATATTGGGATTTGGGTAGTTTTGGTCAAAAGGTGCAAACAAGGGACTAAATATGTATAATCATGATTATAGGGTGCAACCCTTTTGCCTATTTCGTCCATTTCAGGATGGAGCGAGTTTGAGGCCAAGAAGATGTCGATTTTAGAAAGGATTTCATGTTGGAGTGAAGATCTATCAAGAAATAAAGTTACAACAAATGATTGAGATCATTTAAGGTAGAATCTCTTCTCCTCTAGCTCTCAAATTCGAATTCATGACTTGGGGAAACCCCAATGTCGATTTTCGCTTGTTATGATAGTTAGGGTTTGGTTTTCTAACCTCCCTTGAGTAGTTTTAATGATCCCAATCTCAATCCAATCATCTCATTGATGGATTTGAGGATTTGGGTGAAAACCCTCATGAACCCTAGAAAACCCAAATTGGGGACATTTGAAATTGGATGTACCACCCATTTTCTAGTTATTTCTAATTCAGGATCGTGGCCCGAATGTCGATTACGTAAAGGCTTTGGGCCTTAAGGAAGTATAGTCTAGATCTGTTAGGAGGTAATAATGATATGTGTTAGATCTAACCCTTGAATTGTACATTCGGTCGGGGGTGGAAAGGGAAAAGTCATAGTTTCAGTATAATACACGAATCGAATACATAACATACATGCAAACTATAATAGGTATAGTTTGGGATTCCATACATGGTTTTATCGATTCTAGAGTTTATACATTAACAAACATATAAACTATAAAGGTATAGTCTACAGAACAATTACATTATCAAATCACGAAACATAGATAAAATGTGAATAAACATGTAAACCATATAGTTATAGTTATGGATTAGACAAACAGTTATTCAAATTCAAATGATTCATTTTATTCTACACTTAATCGTTAGTATAACATTTTATGAGTGAGCATCTTCGCGTACTTACCTAACTACTAACAAAAGTCCTGAGATTATAACCAGAGTCTCCTGGAGGGAGAACGTGAGTTTGTGTATAGATCTATACGGGACCGACAATCCCGCGCCGCAACTGTTAGCTACAGTTAGGCCGGCAGGCCTGGGTGACAAAGTCATTTCGATTCCGACGCCTGAAGAACGTCGTTCAGGAAATTCAATGGTCAAGTATGGTTATAACAACTCATAAATTCGGTACTAAATAATACGATTAATGTATGAATGGTAAACAACTTCAATTAGCTTTATTTAAATTAATAGAACTACTATACATACTGGTCGTAGCCAGAGTTTTTCATACATAACACATTATACATTACTGGTGATAGCCAGGGATTTCATACCGTAGTTTTCATAACCAAACAATACTATACAATTCCACTGGTGGTATCCAGACCTATAAACTAACACTTTCATATACCACTACAAGAACACAGTATCGAACACACACATCGGTCTTATTGAAAACGTTAAAAGTAGTAAAAGTGTAGGGGTATGAACTCACCAGCTTTAATGTTGATACTCTTTCAAAACCGCTTGTATTCTCAGGGAATCAGTAGACAGGTACTCCTGCAGACTTTTGAGAAGACAGAGCTTTTAGTATCTCGTCTTTTATACTTTTGTTATACTTTTGATGTCATACAAACTATGTATCGAACAGATGTAAATACTTTTATA